AAACTCTGTTTTTCTTTATAAGAAAATATATTTATTTCTCATCCTTAAAAAATTTCTTCATTGAGTATTCTAGTTAAGACTTAGATTTTCTTCTGCCGCTTTGAAGATAACTACTGTCAGTTTACAGGTACATGAGTATAACTGATCCTTGAACTTGTCGAGAGATGCTCAAACTCTTCATAATTAAAGAAATGCAAGTGAAAATGAAAAGAAGATAACCGCTATCATCTGACCGCAGTTATGGCTGCTGAGAAATTAGCTGCCAGTCTGATGCTGATCTCTTTTCTGGCTGCCTTCATAATACTGTGGTTGCTTTTGGTATTCTGTAGTATCATTTCAATGTATCTAGATGTGGAATATAGTTGACTCTTGGACAATGCAGGGGTTAGTGGTGCTGACCCCTCTGCATGGTCAAAAATCCATATATAGTTTCTGACTCCCCCAAAACTTACCTACTAATAGCCTACTATTGGCCAGAAGCTTTACTAATAAAATAAACAGGCAATTCATACTTATTTTGTATGCTATATGTATTATATGTTGTATTCTTACCATAGAGTAAGCCTGAGAAAAGAAAATGCTATTACGAAAATCATAAGGAAGAGAAAGTCTATTTACCATTGATTAAGTGGAATACGTGGATAAAGGTCCTCATCCTTGTCATCTTTACATTGAGTCAGCTGAGGAGAAGAAAGAGGAAGGGTTGGCCTTGCATTTCAAGGGCGGCAGAGGCAGAATAAAGTTCATGTATAAGTGCACCCACGCAGTTCAAACCTGTGTCGTTCAAGGGTCAACTGTACTGTTGGTTTCTTCTGCTTGGGATGTAGTGTGTTTCTGCATCTTTGGATTGGTGTCTTTCATTAGTTCTAGAAAAACTCTGGCCATGGTGTCTCAAAATTGCCTCTCCTCCATTCTCTATTCCCTCCTTCTAGGATGTCCATTAGACTTGTGTTCAACCTTCTCCTGTGCTTCATGCCTATTAATAGCCTTTGAATAATTTCTATCTCTTTATCTTTCTCTCTGTACTGCATTCTGATCATTTTTTTTTTTCATAAGTCTTGTCAGGTCAGTAATTCTCTATTCAGCTATATAAATCTGTGGATTAATCTGTCCATTGAGTTTTCAGTTTTAATGATTTTATACTGCTGTTGTTTTGTAATTCTCTTTGGCTAGTTTGCAAATCTTGCTGGTCATTTTCTTAAAGTCTCTTTTTGTTTTTTTGTTTTGATATTTCATATTTTATTATTTGAAATATTCTACATGTAGTAATATTCTATGTTTAAGAATATTAGATATTTGGTAATCAAGGGTGTAATTCTGTTATCATTTATGCCAACTCTCACTTACATTGTTTTTGTTTTCTTGTGTTTGAAAAAATTTTTTGTGTGAACTTATATTTGATACAATTTAATTTATAACAATATCGAGGGCTCAAACTGAGTGAGAGCTTTCCTACAGAGAGGATTTGTATTTCTTGTGTCCTGGAGCTTGGGATCAGGACTGACCTGAGACTGCTTATCAGTCTTTAAGGATCTTGACTTATTACACAAGTGTCAGGTTCAGCTGCTCCACCATGCGAGGGCCCTGGTGCTCAATCTCTGGTTCTAGAGGTCTGCTCTAGAACCTGCTCCCAGGGCAACCCTGACTTGTGTATGTGCTTGCCACTTACTATTTTGATGTTATATTTCCTTCCTTTTTTCCTTCCTTCCCTTCCTCCTTGTATATATGTATGTATGTGTGTGTATCTATGTACTTTCTTGGGATATTTTCTCTAAATTTTTGGTGGTCATAATGCATTGTAAGAGTGTTGTATTTACCTGGGATCTTGTTGTATTTTAGCAAGAAGACCTTGCAGAATATGTGCTATGAGCAGAAAAATTGATCTGTTTAGAGAATGTCCCCAGTTCCTTGTCTCCTTTCAGTTACAGCTAACTTGGGCCTAAGTGTAAAATGAGACCTGGGACTACTCTACTTTTGGTTTATGGGTTACAGGCGTACAATGGTGCCATGATACCCAGCACCCTTTCACATTCTACCTAATGATCTTTTTTTTGGATCGATCACCCTGAGGTCATTGGCCAGAGGTGTATCTTCAAAATATAGTACTGCATAGGTAAATGATGATTGTTTTTTTTTTTTTAAAGAAACAGATGGGACCCAATATTTGGATATTCAACTCTTTTAAAAGATATGTTTTTCAGCTAACATACATCATTTACAAGATTTCTTAAAAGAAAAAACATAACCTATTGCTTCTAAAATCTTTTTGTTCTTTTATCTCGGATATGATGTTGCCATCATTTGCTTCTTGAAAATCAAGCTTGAGTCTAATATTTATTTTTGCACCTAGTCACATCTAGCATGTAATAAGCTTTCCTGGAATTGAATCGCATCTTCTAGATGGTTTGGTAGAGATCTGGGTATGGCATTTACGGATGTTCCATCAAATAGCATTTTCAATCTCCTGACAGGTCACTCTTTAATTAGCAGAGTAGTTATTTGGTTCAAATTATAGATCCAAATCATGGACTTTAGGGATACTTTCTGAAAACTGCTTTCTTGTCCTAGTTCTAATCATTGACACTGCATCTTTTTCACATTATTGTTGAGCAGTTACTGTAATTACATGGGAGAGTCTCACAAGGATGGAAAGTGGAGATAGAAGTGGGTTTTATTTGGTGTTAATCAAGACAGTCTTTAGTGTTTTTGTTTCACTGGGTAGAGGCTATTGAAAGAAATGTGTGAGGCACTAAGTATTTCCCAATGAATAGTGTTAAGAGGGTCTTTCAATGTGAACATTTCCTAAATTTTATCTCTTAAAAAATAACCTTACGAAACAAATCAAAATTTCTTAGGGAAATTACAGAGCCTTTATATCAAGAAAATAGCAACAGGATGCATTGTAGAAGGTTATATATCATTCATTGCTCAGGTGCACAAGGAATGACAGGAAAGAATGTATCATCTGCTTTTTCTTGCTTTTAAGAGACTGTTCTGTTTTTTTAAAATCTTGCCTAGTGTTCTGATCCTCTTCGTTATAACCGTAGAAAATCTGATGAGCATTAGGTAGGCCATCTGCCCTAACTTCACAAATGAGGGAAAAGTAGAATTTACCTAGGGAACCTCATCTCTTTTCTGATGAAAAATGATAATTAATCCATAACTGGTTGAAATGTAATGTTGAGTGGGTGAATAGCAAAGGGCACGTGAGATTTGGGGAGCTGACTGCATGCTTCCTAAAACTCAGCATGTACAACACATTGTTTAAACACAAAAAGGTCCTCTGCTGGTTATCTGCCAGGGTCATGCAAGGTAAGAATAACTAAAATTTATATATTTAGGACAATTCTTGAGAAAGCCATCTCCTGTAGACTTTTAAGATGCTAAAGCAAACAAATAAATGTAAGAGCTATAGCAGGCGAAATTACTTAGGATATAAATGATTTCAACAAGCTTGGGAATTTACAAAATATAGGAAGCAGGATGTTTCTTGAGAATGTGGCCTAAAACACTTCCGACAAGGGCCAGGCTTGGGCTACTCTCTGGATATGTGTCCTAATCCATACTTCTTTAGGGAACTTCTCCTCAAACTGTCTATCTGAAAATCTCGTCTTTGGGAAGGATGCAGTGACCTTCTTCCTGCTGAAGTACAAGTGACTAATAAGCTTCATGGGTTTCCTCCTCTTGGTTTATAACTGGAGATAATCTTTAAGTCAATGGAAGGCAGCCGCAGTTGTGTAATAGCTAAGTGTCTCCTTTGAGGAGGTGGTGAAGAGTTCTAAGTGCTGTTTAGAGTTGTAAAGCTTTTCCTGTGGTGTATGTATGTAATATAGCATCCCCAGTTGCTGATGCTATGATGAGGCAGGTGAGACTGATGATGGACTTTATGCAGCCTTCTTGATGGGGCTTTGTAGGCAGAGCAGAGAGCCTGTGTAATTCATCTTTGTATTGTTCATTCTAATTCATTGCCTGGTGCAAGGTAGAAGCTCTGTAAGTATTGGCTGTTGGATGGAGGTCAACCTGGGACCTGTCAACAGGGCTGGGGTATCTGGGAATGAAGAAGGTGGAAGTATACACACAGGTGCCTAGACGTCTGCTTCCACTTCATCCTAGGTCCTCACCTTTACCAGGAGGCTGGGTACTGCAGGCTTTGTGCTCCAATTAAGTGGGCACATCCCCCTCTTTCCTGTAGGTCCCTAAGAGGCCAAGTGGACCAGAACTCCAAATGACAGCTTTTTTTCCCTCCAGTTCTTAAGTCGGTGGCTTTCTGAGCCTTGGATTGATCAGGACACAGAGGAAGCTTTGTTCCCTCAGGAGGCTGTTGCTGAGGATAGTTTGTGCCAATCTACTGATCTTTCCCCTAGCCTTCACTCTCAATATGGCAAATTTCCAGATGTGTGACATTTTTATTATTCTAGGGAAAAAAACCCTTTAAATGCCTTTTGAAGTGGAGGAGAAGAGGACAGAGTGGTTTGGCTTGGGTCCTATAGCCATATCATAATGAGTCTTTATTTAGGCATGTATCCATGGAGTAATGAATCCAGGAGGGACAAAAGTTAGTTATTTCTCTTAGGTACCTGACAAGTTCTGTTTTATACCTGGAGGTAAAGTTCAAGATGCATGTTCATAACCAAAAACTTCTGCATCTAAAAGAGGGTATTAGGCCTAGCCCACTAACTAATAACAGAGCTGGATTAAGTGACTTTCTGTGACTGAGGAAAGGAGTATTGACTGCATTTGCCTTCCTAATTCCTGCAGACACTAAAAATGTGTATCAGCTCCACTACATCCTGCCAAATCTTTCTACCCAAGCACAAGAGGATGCTGTACAAAATCTGAGTCTTTCTTGTACCTGGTTTGTGGTTATGAAAGGTTATTAAGCCTAAGGACCTCTTTACAATGTGTCCCCAGCCTAAAACCCCCCACTTACTTAAAATCTCTTTATCCCAAATGTCTACAATATCAGTCGTAATGATACCTTTTCATGTTCATTTGTTTAGATATGCCACACTTCTGCAGGCCTTTGGCAACCCTCCTGGACTAGGCTGCTCTTGTTAATCACATGGATGTTGTGAGTATTATGTTCACAAGTGGATGTAGACAAGATATTTTTATTTAACTATAAATCTTCACCACATGAGCTACTCATGCTTAGCAAAAATATATTAAGCATTTGTGATCTGGAGTTTCATTAATCTCAAGGATTACGCTGCTTGTTCATTGGTTAAATAATGTGGTTTCAGTATCTTCCCTTAATCTTATTGACTTTTTGTGAAAGAACTTTTGACACAAAGCTGTGTCCCAGAATGTTTTGACATAGAGGTAGCTGCTGAATTTAATTTGCGATTGTGGATTCATTTCATCTTGTATGCTTTTACGTTATAGGTTTCTTAATGCCGTCAATGTGAAAGTGCTTCAGATGGCTTTGAGCCCTAATTTGTGGTTCTGTTCACTGAAGATAAGCGGCAATTTTTTGTTGATTTTACTTTCCTATGGATCACCAATAGGCCTAAATAACCTCCTTAGTTGTACTGGCAGGAATGAGTAAAAAGACACGGGATAAGGAGGAGGGAAGGAAAAAAGGAAAGAAAGAAAGAGCGAGCAAGTATGAGAAAGAAAAAGAGGAGGGAAAGAGGAAAGAAAGAGAGAAGTGTCTTGGGAAGGTGATATAGGTCACTAATTACTTTAGAGTTGCAAGCTTTCTGCACAATAATTTATTTGTAAGCCCAGAGTTAGAAAGGGACCATCTTCAGAATCTCAAAAGCAAGTATATAGTGGGCTTGTGTGGCTGGTCAGCACCACTTCTCTCCTCCCTAACTTTAATGATCAAAGGATGAGAAAGTTGTCAGATCTCTTTCTGGATCTTAAGTCAGTCTCCTGTGTGACTGATTTGAAGAGTCATAGTGAAAATCTCCCAACATAAAGCAAAGGACATCTGACCAGCAAAGTCTTTGGGAGTTAAAACAGAATGAGAGGCTAGAAAGAATTGATGATGAAAATACTTCTTTCAAAGAGAGAAGCATCTCAGAAAAATCCACAGAACCACAGAATCTTAGACAGCACTCTCAGATGATTATATTAGTCGTGTTATTTGTGCTTTTTTTTTTTTTTTTTTTT